TGGGGATTGGATATGCATTAAATATTGGCCTCAAGTATCCATTTGGATGTCGAAATACGTACATCTGTACAAATTATTACTACTACATGACAAAGAGTATTCTAGTTTTACTGATACTGGTAGTGTTTATAATACTGGCTCGACGATACAAGAACAGAGTGAGAGAGAATGAAATTAATATTCATCAAATTGCTGATGATCATTACACCAGGTACATGGAACAAGAGGAAGAATACAGCAGAAATTAAATTATTTTGAGTTAAAATATTTATATTTGTTTTCATTTTTGTTTAGAGTTTAGTTGTATTTTTCAAGCTTTGATGATGTGTTTTAGAGAGGGATAAGCAGCACAATTCACTTTCAATTTAAATCAAAGCTGTCATATGTTATGGGCATGTGTTTACCCTGCAAATCAGCGCTCTTTGTTTGATCATAGTAATTATCTTTCAATGGAGGCCTCTTATTTTAATGTTATCTCTTCACAATGGGCTATCATGGTTCTTCTCTGGGATATCCTGATGTATTGTCAAGCTCTGTTGTTAAGATACTATGCTGTATCATCTATCAATTCCTCTGATCACAGTGGCTGGCCTTGGCTTGATATTTTGTACTGCTTCTTTTTCTTCTCATTTCCAATATTTGGTCTGTTAGCTGATGTGTGGGTTGGTAAGTACAGGATCATTTCATTTGGTCTCCTGTTGGGTTTTTTCTCATGGTTGATGTCAGGTATTGGTTTAATCTTGAAGTGCATTGTGGAACAAGAGTATGCTGCATTTTTGAGCCTTTTTGTTTTGGGATATGCACTAGAAATTATTGGCTATACTTCTTTTAAGGCTAATATAATGCAGTATAATATTGATCAGCTTGTTGGAGCTTCAGCTTATGAACTAAGTGCACTGATTTACTGGCATTCAGTTTGTGTTCCCATATCATTTGCTTTGTACTTATTGGACTGATGCTTGATTCCTGAAGATTACTTTCTGTGTGCAACATTCATTGTGTG